TGCGGCCCCGCGCGGGGGGGGGGGGGTGGGGGGGTGTGGGGTGGGGTGGGGGGGGGGGGGGGGGGAGTAGGGATAGGGGTGAATGGGAGGGAGAGGGAGAAAGGACTTGAAACAAGCTTGCTCCCTAACTAGAACTAATAAATAAATTTTTAAAAAAGAAAATAAAAGAAAAAGAGAATGCTTGTAATGTAAATCCTCAGAAGAAAGCCGGAGGCCAGAGATGGACTTTTGAAAAAATTGATGTGTGTAAATTAGAGAATTATAACAAACTACAACATTTTGATGAGCCTCTGAAAGGGGATGTTATAGCACATGGAATGTAGCAGATGCAGTCATGTAGAAAAGTATGTGAGTAAAATGAACCAAATGGGCCACAGGGCTGTGGTAACAGGATTAATTACTTTTTAGCCACATATTAACACAATATAGTATTACATTCTGACACTTTCATACTTGTGTATTATGTGCTTGTGTGATATTTATCCTTTATTATCTCATGTATTTATTCCCTTTGTGCTCACTGGTTCTTCTCCTCAGTAGTTCATAATTAACTCGGGTTCCTCTTCCTTGGTTTTACATGAATGAAAGTCTAGCAGTTGCCTTTGTGAGAAAGACTAAATTTCTTAAGGTGAAATCCATCCATTTTCTACACCATTTTCATACCAGTGGTGACAACTGAAGGATTGTAGTGTCCTAATATGAGAAACAATAAAGGCAGATTGGAGCTGGGGAGCCGGCTCGGTGAACTTCCAGAGGAAATGAGTCCAAGTGGGTCACAACCTCATGTAACTCTGTTCCAGAGGATCCAACATACTATTCTTGCCTCCGTGGGTGGCATGCAGTACATGTGGTGCACATACATACTCTGAGGGACATACACATACATGAAATAAGCATTTTAAAACATGGTTAGAACATCTCAGGGCTGGAGAGATGGCTTGGTAGGTAAGAGCACTGATTGCCCCTCCAAAGGGTCCAGGATTTACCTCCAGCACTCAATGGTGGCTCAAAAGCATATGCAGCTCCACTCCTAAGAAATACAATGGCCTCTTCTGACTTCTGCAAGGACTTTATACATGTGGTGCATGGACGCACATGCAGTAAAAATATACATACATGTAAATTAAAATCACCACCAACAACCACCAGCAGGAAATATCACCCAAGTATTCAGATAATGTTTGATCTTCAAGATACATTTTCTAGGTCAACATATACCTTGCAATATTGTCACATACTAGTTTGTATAATATGCTGGTTCTACATTTTTGAAAAAATTATCATCATTGGGTAGTACATTATTCTTTGGAGAGTAGATTCTGTAAGAAAATTCTAAAATGAAATATCTCCATATCACAGTATATGACACAAAAGTCAGTTATAGGATACTCAATAATTTTGCAACTGTATTCTAAACATTCTACAACAGATAAAAGAAATATGTCAGTAAATAAGTAAAGACAGAGGAGCTGGGACAATGATAAACTTAGATGACGCTACCTACCTCTTACCACAGCAGGTTAAAGACAGGCTGGAAATATATTTAATATTGCACATGAGAACAACAGGGTAAAATATGGGAAAGCATATTTCTACAAATAGAAATACACTTATGCCCCACAGCATTTGACCTTTGGAGTAGTTCATAAAGATGACCATAATGGAAGAGAATGAGTAAGAGATGACAAATATGCACACCAGGGTGAGGATAGTTTGGGCAGCTCTGTCCTCAGGTGAAACTTTTAGACAGTGTTGAGCACTATGGATATGCTTGACTTGTCTCTTGTGTCTGTAGAGGATTGTCACCATGGAGACACTTGAGCAGGCCATGAGACCCAGACACAGACCATCCGTGAAGCACAGTAAGAACAAATACAATGCCGTTGCCACGTTACCAGAAGCAAACCATGAGCAGTATCCATAACTTATCCTGCTAGTTGCATTGTTGATGAAAATGGGGCCTGACACTTTTGCTGGTGTCGAGATGTTTAGAAGTAGGTGCACAAGCCAGCTGAGTGAGCAGGAGGGACTGATGAACTTGGTGGCTCTGTGTTTAAGCCTCATCCACCTGGAGTTGTTGGGGCTGATTGTAATAGCTTGGAAACAACTCAAGAGGCACATGACATACAGGGACACCCCCCTTGTTATTCGGTAAATGTACATTATAAATTTACATCCAATGTCATCTAGGAAATACTTAAATCCAAAATCTGACATTGTCTGTGGAATTCCTCTTGAGATGATAGACAAGCAGTTGGCAAAAGTCAAGTGCCCTATGATCAGGTCTTTGGGCATTAAATGTTTTCCAGTGAATATCAAAATGACATGATAAAACAGTATTGAGGAATTGCCAAGCATGCCTACTGTAATCTGGGAGAAGAGGAAAATTCCCATGGCTAATTTTGCAGGAGTCATTTTTGTTCCTATTAAGAAGGTAAGTAAATTTATTATGGTCAAGACACCCTGGAAATACATTATGAGTATTTATTATTTCATGGTTAGCTTGAGGAAAATATTCACCACTTTATTGTATTTAAATAACACTCTCACTAAAGAAGAATTTTCAAGGGTGTTTTATTTAGAGAAGTAATATGCTCTATTATTTGATATGTTTTCAAAGTTTAATGTTCTTGCATGTGGTGGTAGATGCCTTTAATACTAGAATTTAATAGATAGAGGAAAACAGATCTTTGATTCTGAGGCTAATTAGTATATGGAAACAGTTACAGTACATTCACAGCTACACACAAAGTAACCATTTCTCAGAAAACCAAAATAGAGGAAAGGAAGAAAGAAAAAAGAAAGGAAGGAAGAAAGAAAGAGAGGGGAAGAAAGAAAGAAAGAAAGAAAGAAAGAAAGAAAAAGAAAGAAAGAAAATATTAATGAATTTGACTAAACAATGATCTGGGGTCACTGTTAAGGAAAAAGAACTTAAAACATGCCATTACTTCTAAAATTCAGATGAAACAGAACTCAAAATTCATCAAGAGAATCAACAGAAAATATTTTAAAATCATATTTATGATGAGTGATTAAATATTCAGAATATTTAAAGAATATTTTTATTTTAAGGTTTACCTTATTTTTGTTTATGTGCGTACTTGGGAACCTGCACGTGAGTGTGAGTGCCCGCAGAGCATAGAGTCATGGGTTCTCCCACAGCTGGGTTTGTAGACTGTTGTGTGGGAGCTAGAATTGAACTCAGTAGTAGCAGTATGCACTATGAAACGCTGAACCATTTCTTCACCCAAAAAAGAATAATTAAAATTAAATTTGAAAAAACTTAAAATATAAAACACTGAGAGATGGGATTAAGACTTGAATAATTTACTTTTTATTTTTAAGTCTTTATTTTATATGCACTGGCGCTTTGAGTATCGATGACAGATACCCTGGAACTGGAATTACATACAGAATTGAACCTCAGTCCTCTGGAAGAGCAGTCATTCCTCTTAACCAGTGAGCCCTCTCTCCAGCCCCAACTGAAATGTGTGTAAAATGAGGCTCAACAGTTATTCGGGGTACAGAGTGCTGCAATATGAGATCATCGCAGACCCTACAGAACAGGTATTAATCAAAACAAATTAACAATTTAGAGCAGGAGTTAGTGCTGTTGAGCATATGGAGTAAAGAAACCTAGAGCAGACTCATTTGGAAAGTAAAATGTTGTAGCAACTATGGAAATTAATATTGTTTTTCTTCACCAAAATTGATAAGCCATTACCAAGTTCCAATTGTAGTGTGACTGCACCTCCCATATGTTGGATCATCAACTCTTTTTAATTAATTAGTTAATTAATTAATTTCACATTTTAGTCAAAGCTTCCCCATCCTCATCTCCACCCAGGCATTCCCCTTCATCCCTACTTTTTCAAATCCCACAACCCACTCCTCCTTAATTTCTGTCTACGAT